GGCCCTGGGTAGAGGAAGGGGGTGAGAAATCCAAGATGGCTTCCTCATTCCTTGAGACTATATTATAGGGTTAGTTGTCAGCTATCTCAGTGAATGAGACAAAAATGAATGAGCAGCATCTCTCCTCACTGGGGGCAACCTGCCAGTGTCACCAAAAGGATACCTCAGGCCTGGATGGCCCCATTCCTTAGCAAAGTCCTTCCATGGTTTCTCTTATGTCGTGATGCTATAAGATATTAAGGCGCGTAGGGCCCCCTACCCCATCAAGTTTAGGTGTCCTCAGGCTCCCTAGGCAGTGCTCATTAGAGATGTTGGTGTTGGTTGTATTGGCTACTTTTCTCACTAACGGGACAAAATTGAATTAAGGGCAAATTGATTTGGGCTCACAGTTTGAAGGTGCAGCTTGTCATGGTGGGGAAGACACATGGACAGGAGCATGAGGTCCCAGTCACATTGCATCCACATTGCAGAGAGACATGGATGCTGGTCCTCAGTTGGCTTCTCTTTTTCCTTTTCATTTAAGCCCCAGCCCACAGGATGTGCCACCCACATTCAGAGCTCCGCCTCTTTGGAAACTCCCTCACATACGTCCTCAGAAGTGTCTCTCCTAAGTGATGCTAAATTCTGTCAATTTGGCAGTGAAGTTGAAGCGTCACACAGGCCCAGTTCAGTAGCCTGTAACATTTATGCTCTGAATCTCTCTTGCCCCAGGCTGGCCCAAGAAGCCTTGGAAATGGACTAGAGAGGGGTGTGTAGTGCGTACCCAAGCCTATGCCATATACCTTTCAGCAACCGTCCCCTTCAAGTCAAGAGTGTTGAAGTTCAGACTAACGCTGGACCCTGCTCTGTTCCAAGGATGTCACGTGCCCTCCCTTCCTGGAACCCTAGGCAGAGGCTAGCTTAGCCTCCAACCAACCATGCTGACACCAGTTGCATACACCAAATGAACATAGATGATATGATTCATCTTGTTCTGGGTTCTTTTCTGCTTGTTTTACATTTTAAGTAGGGTCTCACTCTCTCTTCCTGGCTGGCCAGAAACTGTATAACCCAGACTAGCCTCACGCCTGTGGTGATCTGACTCCTGGGTGGTGTGATTACCACTCTTGATGTGATTTAATGTGTTCATCCACGTGGATATCCGCTTATCTCTTCAACTGATGCATTGTTCTTTTATCACGTGGAAGTCGGGACAACTTCACAGAGTCACTTCTCTCTCCACCTCCACACAGGTTGCAGGGATGGAGCTTAGGTTGACGCATGGTAAACTGAATTCTGGAAACAGGATTTGGAGCCTCAGGTGGACAGGTCTGGCAGATGCAAACAAGCACCATGTCCCGTGGAGCTGGGTCACTGCTGTCTAAAGTGGGCATCATGAAGTGGACACTAAGCCTAGGACTCAGGGAACCCTCCTGGGAAGACAGGCATCCAGGCATCAAGCCTGTGTCAGAGAGGAAAGCTCACCTTGAGACTGAATTCAGAAACCTGAGGATAGCATGGAATGGTGACATAGAGTCCCCAGGAGGGCATGTTTGTAGGAGAAGCACCAAGAGTGGCCCCAGGAGGAGAGGGTAGACCACAGACTCTAAAGTTATTGGTCCCATTGGTAGTTACATAAATCCTTACATGTGGATGGCTTTCTCTGCTGCGTCCTCAGATCAATGTGTGGGGTGAGGGCACAGGATCAGTTCAGTGACTCGTGACTCGAGGCAAGTGACTTAATGATTGGAGTTTAGGCAGAGTTCTCCTCATTTGAGAACTCCGTGCTACTCATTTGAAACATGGCTGCTCTGGGAATGAAGAGAGATCAAAGACTCCCTGCCAGAGGCTGCAGTGTAACTCAGTCATAGAATACTTGCCTAGTGCTTGCAAGGCCCTGGGTTCGATACCCAGCACTGCAGAAGTCGGACAAGGACAATCCTCAGGAAAGGAAAGGAAGGACAGGAGTTAGAAACATTGGGTTTCTGTGTCTGGATCCCTGCCCTGGCTCCCACACAGCCTATGGCCTCTCTGTCCTTCTGAGATGGACCAACCACCGTCTCCTGCCCTATGTTGTCCACAGACCTATGAGTGGCTCTCTAGCTCCACTGGTCTCCAGGTGCTTTGTATGTGCACTGCACACCATGCTGGTCCCTCTGCTTCCTTCCATAGCGCACACTGTCCTCACACCACAGGTCCAGGCCTGCACACCTTCCCTCCCCCTCCCCTTAGCTAATCTACTCAAGACACTTAAGACACTCCTTAGCGTGCACACATAGAATGTCCATACAAACCGCTACACAGCTGGGAGCAATAGGGCCTGATCAGCATAGGACATGACCCTGGAGACTCATGACACTCATCTGGGCCCCCAGCTTGACTTCTAGACACATAACAGAAACCTCTGGGTCCTCAGAAAAACTTGGTCTCATGTAACCCAAGCTGACCACCTCAAACTTGCCATGTAACTGGGGATGGCCTTCTCATTCTCTTGCGTCCACCTTGGGAGTCCAGGGTAACAGGCATGTACCACTCCTCCTAGTTTTATGCAGTGCTGAGAATTGACCCCAAGGCTTCTTGCATGAGAGGCAAGCACTCCAAAAACTAGGTTGCATTCCCAGTCTGAAGAATTATAGGATTTGGTAGGAGAGCAAAGCTTGAGATATCACCACAGCTCCACATCGTGGTCTCCCCAGCTGCCCATGGTGGAGGTTGTCTAGCAATAAACCGTTGGTCCAGGGCAGCAGGCAGCTCCAAGAACCCCTGAGAAGGTTGGGAGACCAGCAATCCAAGACCTCACTACCCATCCTACCTACCTGCTCTAGCCTCCAGGTGCCCCTGCTGCCACAGGTTCTCGGGATGCCCAGCTCTGGCTAGCATCTCTGAGAGAGTCTATTGACACCACTCCAGTCACTGTGGACACCAGCTTCCCAGCACTGGCACAGGTGCCTGTCCCTGGGGAAACCTGACAGCCCTCCAGTGTATGCACACCCTCTACATGGACCCTTCTGCCAGCTCTTACCCCAACAGCTAAGCAGCTACGTCTCCATCCCCTTATGTCTGCTCCGTTTGCCAGCCCAGCACTCCCCGTCTTCGGAAAGGCCTAAAGGACTAGACCCAGGCGAGACCACCCTACTCTTTCCCCAAAATAATTTTTTGAGAAGTAAAATCCAGCCATATTGACTTTGTCATGAGACCAGGCCATGAAGGCCATGTGCAACACTCCACGGCCATGTAGGTTTCAAAATGGGGTATGTCCATGGGTGCCAGGGACTCTCACAAGAGAAAGGATGTGAGCAGGTCTGGGGATGGGAGACAGCCCTTGTGTCAGAGCATGGCGACTCCCAGGAGCAAATAGATTTGATTATATTGAACACAGCAATTGATTTTTTTTCTCCTAAATAAACACACAAGGGAAATAGTAACAGGCATTTGTTTCTGATGAGAATCAATTGACCCCAAATTGGAAGAAAAATCTAGAAACACAAACAAGTGCAAGAAAAAGTGTTTCAGCCACCGGGGCTTCTCCAATAAGAGAAGGAGGGCAGGAGAGAGCAACGGCTGCTCCCCCTTTTCCCACTGAGTAGCTTCTGTGCGCAGGTGCTCTCCCCATCATGGTTCCCACAACTAAAAGTGGGAGGGCAGCTGCCAATCACTGAGCATTGGCTCAATGAAAAGATACATGTGACTATGTTAATTAACCCTCTTAATGTCCCCACGTGGGGTGCATTACTATCCCATTTCTCAGATGAAATCACTGAGGCCCTTTACTCCAGGTTACACAACCTGGAAGTAGCAGAGCTGGGACTCACAAACCCAGTGGTCCCCAAATTCAAGCATGTTCACTGTCTGGTCCTGAGAGGTTAACCTGGCAGCTTCAACTGGTGTTAGAATTCATGGGAAGAGGTCCGGACCCCAGATGGTCCATACCCAGCACCCACTGATCTTAGAATAGACAGATGGTGGGGAGCCCACACCAGCACCCCCCAGACTCAACAAGGCCAGGTTCAGGAAGTGTTGTCCCCAGGGGAAGTAGGAAGCAGGGCGGGAGGATCAGTGCTCTGTGGCTTCCCTGCAGCCCCCACTTACTGACTGTGCCCTGTATGGTGGCCCTGTCACCAGCAAGATAAACTATGTCATGTCACAGTGCATCACAGACCTCATTTGCCAAAGCACCGTGCGATGCTGTGCGTTCAGCAAGCACGCCCGTGATAAAAGGCCTAAGAGTAATGGGCTGTGCGCTCCGGTTTAATCTCCTAAAGCTTCCTTTTGTTTCTTGGTCGTGGACTTGTATACGCACGCTTGTTTCCGAGTAACCCAGCTCTGGGAGTGTACCTAATTACCTTAAGCGGGGATTATTAGCCCTGTTAACTAAAACGCCCTAATCTATGAGGCCAAGGATTCAAAAGCAGCCTTTAAGATAGGATTAAGACAAAAGGCGAACTGTGACAGAATGAAATGGGGGGCTGGTTTTCCTCGCACTGTGGGGCAACAGTTGCAGATTCCACTGGAAGAATTTCCCCCATTCTGCCTGACTCATAGAGGCACTCACTAGATATCAGTAGGCTGGATGGGTGGGCAGAAGGACAGGCAAGCCCCCTCTGTGACATGACAGTGGCTGGAGGAGGGGGAGGATGGACAAATGAGCCCCCTCTGTGACAGTGGCTGGAGGGGGCAGATGGACAGGCAAGCCCCCTCTGTGACAGTGGCTGGAGAGGGAGGATGGACAGGCAAGCCCCCTCCGTGACAGTGGCTGGAGGGGGCAGATGGACAGGCAAGCCCCCCCTGTGACAGTGGCTGGAGAGGGAGGATGGACAGGCAAGCCCCCTCCGTGACAGTGGCTGGAGGGGGCAGATGGACAGGCAAGCCCCCCCCCCCCCCGTGACAGTGGCACTGTTCACTGCACACTGGAAATGCCCAGCAGCTGCTGAGGAATGAGATGGATGAATGTATTGATGGGCGGAGCACTGTCTCAAGACTGCAGGGTACATTTGATGTAACAACCTCTTCTTCTCTTTCAGGAGACATGTGCACCATGGCTGGCTACGCTCGTCTCAAAAACGTCCTCCTGGCGCTCCAGAGCCGCAGACAGCCACTCCAACAAGGAACCAACAGGCAGAACCTCGCCTCCCAGAAGCGCCTCTTGGTAGAGTCGCTATTTAAGGACTTGGATACGGATGGCAGTGGCCACCTCAGCAGCTTGGAGCTGGCTCAGGTGGGTTTGGCATGCAGCAGGGACTGTGGAGAGAGCCTGTATGGCACGTGTGGTGAGGAGACACTCCTTGGCGGAGACAATGGTTCTTCACTGTCTCTGTTACAGATTGCCAGGGGCCCCTCCTACCCTTCCTAGAAGCCACAGCTTGTTGTCAGCACCTCTGAGAATGTCTTACACACAAAATCCCACCACCTGCCACCTCAGCCTAGGTTTACAAACCAGTTTCGACACTTCCTCAGCTTGCAGGCAGAGCCTCCTTCAGAGGGGCTGCCCGCTGGTGTTTTTCTCAGAAAGCTAGTCCTTGATGCTTTGAGCCTGTCCTTTTCTACAGGGAAATGTCAAAGGGGAGCAGTACTTGTTAGGGTGAGCATCTTTGATGCTTCAACCTGGGGGTCCCCGAGGCCTCTGCCCAGTGACAGCGCTGCACTTTGGCGTCCAAATACTGATGACCTCCCCCCCCCCCCCCCCCCCCCCGCGCACAGCTGTTTTGCTTATGGGACGTCCTGTGTCCACCCCTCATAGGCACTAGCCTGAGAATGCCCATGGATCCTGCCCCAAGGTTTGCCTCTGCTCCAAAGGCTGTGGGTTAGAAGCTATCACTCTAGGCAACTTTAAGGGGGTTCCTGGGTGGTTAGTGTCTATATCACAAAAGAAGCAAGAAAGAGCAAATCACTCCCTGGGGCCACTGTCACTGCCAGCGAGAGACCTGAAGAGTCTGGCAGCAGGAAGGCTGGCATGGGACAGAAGGGCTGTGTTGTCTTAGTCCAGCCAAAGTAGATATAAGCAAGGAAATGGGTGGAGCTTTCCCGGGTGAGGGGTCCATGGAGACCACTCTGCCCCGGAAACTATAGAGTGGTCACCCAGAGAAGAGGTGACAGGATTGAGTTCTCACTTTTGATGCTGAGGTCCATTTTGCTGATGGACCTCAGCAAAATGAGAGTCTGGAGGTGGAGGCGTTGGCTCAGCAGGTAAGACATCTGCTCTGCGAGGGTCCGACCAGCGTTGAGATCCCCAGAAGTCATGTAAAGGCCAGGCGGGTATGGCGTCACCCTGTAAACCCTGTGTGAAGGAAACAAAGACGGAAGCCCAGAGTAAGCACTGGCTTCAGTGAGAGGACCTGCCTCAGTAGCATTGAGAGCAGTCAAAGAAGGCTTCCCATGAGCACGTGCATTGTAGCGCTCACAGGCAAACATGCGGACACACGCATGCTCAACAACAACCACCAAGTTGGTAGCCAGATCATTGTGCAGGCCCTTTGCCCATGGTGAATAAACACTGCCGTCTTGCTCTATGGAGGCACAGCAGCTAAGAAGGCAAGCTTCAAAGCCAAGCAGCCCACAGTCAAGGTCTGCTGCCAGCATTCATGAGCTAGTGAGTCTCCAGAGGCCCCTCCTTCCCAGGCCTCCATGCCTCAGCTGTGAACCTGGCGAGGTCATCACGAGAGTTAATGGTGCTAAGCCAGTGAGATGTGAGACGTGTTTAGCATTGTACTTGGCACATGGGATGTTCCCAGCATTGTCGTCATCCTTGTTCCCCCTTCACCCTTCAGCATCCTCTCCTGTAGGGCCAGAATGGCTACTGTCCCGCTTCACAGACGCTTTTAGAGGAGGAATCTGAGGCTCTAGGGAACCAAGTAACCAGCGACTCCGTTCCAGCTCACCACACAAACCCAAGCATCCTAGGAAGCCCATGGAGGCCGTGGTGGCATCATGCAAGCACATCACTATCCTAGCCCCCAACTCTAGCTGAGACCCCCAGGAACAGGGCCAGGAACTCTCATATGACAAGAATGACTCCAGGAAAGCCCAGAGGTCTTGTCGGTTATGGCTGTCTGCAGGAGCACACCCCACCTGTCAGTTCTCATACTACAGGCTGGGCAGGAAGAATGGGGCACGTGACATCAGTCTGCCCTAGGCAGAGGCAGCTGAGAGCTCCTGGTGCCCACACCCACGTGGCTCCCAACAGACCTTCTTGGGTTCATTGCTGTAACCTGGCAGAGATGTGGCCAGCGGCATCTGAAGCCATTAACAAGCATGGTAATTGGACTATGATTTTCTCTTTAAATTTTAATATATCTAAAGTCCATCTCATAAATCCACCAAGCAGAGCCCAGCTAATGTGGGCCTTGCCTTGACACTGAGTCAGAGGCGCCGGAGGGAAGAACTCCTTGGTCCTATGAAAAGTTAATCAATTTCCAATGTAGAAATAGACAAAGGGAAATTTCCATCTTCGGAAGATTGATCTGAGGCGTCATGGTTGATCTCCTTTTTATCGAACACGCTCACTTGCTGGGTGAAGGGTCATTTTTTTAAACATTATCACATTAAATTGCCTTTAATGTAGCAGGCCAAGCTGGGAATGTTAAACAAAGAGAAAAAAATGCCTCTACCTCCACCCCCTCAAAACAAAACCATTTCCTCTCCCTTGATTTCCTTTGTACGGTCTCCCTTGCCCAGCCTGTGGCTTTCAGTGTTCAGCCAAGTGAGGGTGTGTGGAATTTCTACCCACATTAACTTTAGTGTGTGGCTGGCTGTGATTGGGGTCAGGGCTTCTGTGTCTTGTGGGTTAAACCATAACCACAGAGGAATCCACATGAGTCCACCTCAATCCTAAATCAGGATCCTGACTGAGGGGTGACATTTGTGGCCCTAGAAGAATATAGAAACATAAAATGCCCTAACAAGCTCATGTGTCTGAACACTTGGTCTCTAGCTGGTGATGGCGTTTGGGATGGTTATGGAACCTTTAGGAGACAGAGCCTCACTGGGGGCCAGTCTTGAGGCTTAATAGCCTGGTCCCCACCTCACAGTCACCCTGGGTTTCCTGAGTGGAGATGTACTCTGACAGGCAGCATCCCACCCACCGCCATACCATCCCTGCCACTGCCATGTCTTCCATGACTTGGTGGCATTCTGTTCCCAAGAACTATAAAAACACTATCTCCCTTAAAGTCACCTTTGCCTGGTGTAACTGAGACAGATCTGCTCACCAACTGCTTTCTGGGCATGTGCTGTGTGGTGAGGGCTGGTGTGTGGTTGAGGGGAGTGGATATGGTGATGTAGATACGGCACGTTCTTTTTCTCATCGCTGTGATATAATACCTATCAAGAAGCAGCTTGGGGAGGGGTTGGCTTCTGGCTTACAGTTGGAGGGGATACAGTCTATGGTGGTCTGAAAATACGGTGACAAGAGCCTGAGGCTGCTGTCACCCTGCGTCATCAATCAGAAAGATGAGTGTCAGTGTTCATCGGGTTTTACAACTCCTTCCCCCACCCCTTATTCAGTCTGGGTACCCATCTCATGTTTAGGGCGGGTCTTCCCTCCTCACCGGAACCTCTCTGGTGTCTTCCAGATCATTCCAATCCCAGTCAGGCTGACAGTGAAAATTAACCATCACCCATAGTGGCCTGGACTCCCACCCTGAGGTCGGCTGTTCACTGTCTTCCTGTGATCAAGCCCTTCTCTAGTCTGTTTCCCCCATTAACAGCACAAGGGACAGACAAGCGCCACAAACATTCTTCCTTGCTTAGATCCCCTGGCTCTGTCTGCCAGTCATGGAGACCATAGACCTTCCTTCTCCAGGCCTCAGTTTCCTTATCTGTAAAATGAAGGATTCAGATTGGACAAGACCAGAGGTCTCTGGATACTCTCCAGTGCTGCAACCTACATGACTTTGGAGTTGGGGGGATATCGGGGAATGGAGAAAGGACAGACATACAGACACCCAGAACACTGGAATAGGGAGTGGAGATACACCACCAGCAGCCTAGGAAACCCAGCTGGTTTTATACATCTGAATTGAGATGTCCATTACATACAGCTGAACTAGGAAGTGGCTTTCACTAATCTGGATGGGGGTTTCTGCAGAGGAACAGTTCAGGCTGCCATCATCCAGGAGGAACAGGAAGCTGTGGTCCATGCTGTCTGTACACACTGTCAGCATCTGCACATGGATCCAGGGCAGGCTCTGCTATGTCCCTGAGCCTGACCTAGAAAAGGCTGTAACGTTCCATGGTTCTGAGGCATCAGGGTCCTTGATGTGGCCATGGCCATGTCAACAACACACATTTACTAGGGACTTCACCCATTCCCATACCCCAAGGCCTATTGGGCTTCCCTGAGTCCCCACCGGACCTGGGCATTTTCCAGCAGCATCTGTGATGCTGAGCTCACTGATAACTCTGGCTCTGTCTCTTCTCACCTCACAGTATGTGCTAAAGGAGCAGGATCTGGATGGTTCCCTGAAGGGATGCTCACCAAGCGATCTCCTGCGTTTTGATGACTATAATACCGATGGCTTCTTGACCCTTGGAGAGTTCTACACAGCCTTCCGTAAGTGAGACCTCTGCACAGGGCTGTGGGAATGGGAACTAATTGCCTTGGTTGTGATGTGGCATCAGAAGCCTGGACGGCAGGTACACAGGGCATGTGAACTTGGCTTCAGCAGTCTTCAGGTGGATTTGGCTTAGATGTGAAAGAAGTTGAGATGATTGCTCTGTGCAAGCCTGATCTATAAGAAAGGGACAAGATAAGATGGGTGGGAAGGAGAGAGCTTGCCAGCTCTCTACCTTTTGAATGAATACATTAGTCAACAGAGGGATTTGGGGCTGTAACCACAGCATATCTGTAACAACAATCCTCTTGGCTGCATATCATGTGATTTCCTGGGGAGACATGAAGAAATGTTTATTCACCTCAGATGTGACATCAGTGACAGACCACAGAATCAGCTCCATTCACGCCCAGCTTAGTGAACAGAGGAGTTAGTGGAGTAACTTACCAGGGGCCTGGGTGACTCAAAGGTGGTAGCAGCCCTGAAAAGCCCACTAAAGCATGGGCAACAACTTGCAGGTTAACTTTCCTGCAGGGCTTGAAGGCAACTTAACTGATCAGAGAATCTCCTCTGCCTGCAATTTCCATGTCTTTGGTAACTTGATGGAAAGGGTCCTGTGAATTCTGTGCGTTTCCGGAGCTTCCTGGCCTTGTTTCATTTGCTTCCTGAGTCATAAGCCTCTGGGAATGTTTTGATCTTGGGGAACTGGACTATAGCACTGAACATGGAGGCAACCAGGCTGCCTGGACGGAGACTCTGAGGGATGGGCTGGAAGCATGGCCAGGCAGAAGCCGGTCCCAGTCACTGCCCAAGGGCAATGGAGAAAGTCTCTATGTTCAAGAGAGGTAGCAGGATATTTAGAGACATCAAAGACAGTAAGTACTCCTGTTGGAGTAGGAGTGGGGGCTTTCAACCTCCCCCAGTGAGCAATTCTCAGGAAAAAAAAAACTTATTTAGTTAACATGCTGTTGTAGCCTCTGCTATTGCTCTGAGAGGCCAGGCTGTGTCAGAAACATTTCATGGGGTTAGGCATTGCCGTAATCTTGTGACCATCTTAGTGTGATCTTTTTAACCCCACCCCAAAGCAGATTTTTCTCCAGAACTAAGCAAGTTTTACAGAAACTGAAATGTACAGGTTTCCAGTTAAGACAGTTTTAGCAGACATCAGTAGTTCATACAGTGTTGGGTCTGTAGTCTCAGATGATAGACCACATCTTACCCTGTGTAACTTCCCGTCTCCTAAGTCAGCTTGCTAATCATAGTGTTAACGCTTGCTATTTTCCTTTTCTTTTTCACTCCTGTGCCCTGAGTGGCTCCTCCTTGGGTTTCCTGGTGTGTGCCATACCTGGAGATGACCTGCTTAGAGATTCCATCAAGCTAACTCCGGGCAGGGCTTGCTGACAATGGAAGTGACCTCAGAGAGGTCCACCAGGGCCCACACTGAGGGGAGGACAGCTAGTGTGCTGGGCCCACGCAAGAGAACAGAGGATCATGCTTTGCCTTAAAGAGGGGACACCCTTTATATTCAAGGGTACGCTAGTCTACTTATAGCAGATAGCCCTGTGATGTGCTTGTGGGCATGACCTGCAAGCTCCCAGCACCTGATGGTAGGTATTGGCCTTGTGGAGGCAGTGTGAGCTCCTGAAGACACTGAACATCCTAAACCACAGAACTTAGAATCCTTCCTCCCAGTGCTCATTAGGAATTTCATCTTCCCAGAAAGTATCTCTGCCGTATTGTGACACTTCTTTGAGCTCTGGTTATTCCCAGAGGCAGTTCTTCCATCTTGTTGGCAAAACAGGGTTTTGTGGCAAATAGAAGATACACTTGAAAGACATAAAGGAGAAAAGCAAGTGATTTTTCTCTGCAGGAACTTCCCGTACCTAGTGTGGTTCTGTGGGGGAAAAAAGAGAAAGCTTTCCAGTTCTTTGGTGTCCAGGGTTACCAGCCAATCACTGCTCCAAGACTTTGTTTGATGTACAATGATTGTGTTTGGTCTCTAGCATCCTCATCCTTGCCAACTCGTAAAGCCTGTATCTGCTGATACTAGTTCGTGACAAAGTGTGAATGACTTGTAAGCTTGTCATGTTTCTACAAGTTCCTGTTGGAGCATCAAGAACTTATTAGCAAAAATAAATCTTGAGATTTTAAACTGTTTAGGGAGTTGACTGTTAAATGATCAGGCACTTTGACCACACACAGTTGAATAAATCTACAGTAGTAGGGATCTTAACACCTCTGATATCCACAGCCATAAAAAGGCTACCCAAAAGGAATTGTTATTATTATTATCATCATCATCGTGATCTAGAGAAACACATGCTAAGTGTTGACCAGGATATCACAAGAGACCGTCCCTGTTGACCCCAGTGCTTGCTTCATCACTAGTCTCCGTCCACTTCCCTTGTCAACTCTAGTCCCACAGAACTCAGATGTGTAATAAGGAGGCTGCTTGTTGGTTCCCAACCACTTGGCCCCAAAATAATCACACAGAAACTGTATTAATTAAATCACTGCTTGGCCCATTAGCTCTAGCTTCTTATTGGCTAATTCCTACATATCAATTTAACCCATTTCTATTAATCTGTGTATCGCCATGTGGCTGTTGCTTACCAGCTAATGTTCCCAGCGTCTATCACTGGTAGCTCCATGGCTTCTCTCTAACTCCACCTTCCTCCTCCCTTGCTATAGGTCAAGCCAGTTTCTTTATTCATTAACCAATAAAAGCAACACATAGACAGAAGGACCTCCCACACCACAGATGAACCAGAGAATCAACATTAGAAGAGATGACACCTAGACTTGTTCTCCAAGTCAGGAAGTGGAGAGTTTTCTGGGGACAGATCTAATGTATTTCAGGAATGCTGCCTAAAAGCTGCAGAGAGGGCAAGATCACCTTGAAGGCACTTTGGTGTGTGCAGGGAGGGAATGTCTAGATTGGGTTAGTTGGGATGGGAAGACCCACCCCTAGATGTGGGCAGAGCCATCCCATGGGCTGGGGTACTAGACTGCTTGAAAAGGAGAAGGCAAGCTGGGCATCAGAATGCATCTCTCTCTCTGCTTCCTGACTGTGGGCACAATATAGCCAGCTGCCTCACATTACTCCTGCTGTGCCTTCCCTGCCGTGATGGTCTGTATCCCCTCAAACCATGAGTTAAAGTAAACCCTCCCTTCCTGAAGTAGCTTTTGTCAGGCAGTTGGTGACAGCAATAAGTAATTAATACAGCTAGCTATGTGCCACCACTCATGTGGCCAGTGGTGGCACACCCTCCATCCTGGGAATGGATAGAGCCAAACAAGCTTGTGGATTTGCTCCTGAGGAAATGCAAGCCTCTCTCCTGCCCATGAGGATAGACAGATAGATGTCGATATAACAAGAGCCACTGTAGGGGAGGGGGCACATTGTCCCTTCGGCTTCAGCCATAGATCTCAGGCAGGGCACCCTGATGTCTGCTCCTTCCATTCCTGGGTTATTACTTGAAAAGCTTTATAATCATCATCTTTGAAGCAAATTAGATTCCACGGTTGCCTTGGACTTGTTTCGAACCAGGCAGCCAAACCATTCATCACAGCCCAACTCAAATAATAGATATGCAATAAAATGTAAACTCGCAGCCACTGAGGAAGCCACAAAATGAGTTAGCCCAGCTATAAAGACCTGACATGCTGAGGCTCTGAGCATCCAGGGATCAATGGCTTTTCAAAGTTCCAGGAACTGCATTCTAATTCCCAGAGCTGTAGTGATAGATGCTTGGCTCTGTGAGTTTTAAATGAGTAATTGAAATGAGACACACGGGTATAACTGGTTCCCTAGAAAGCAGTGGGCATTCGAGAGATCTCACTAAAAGTCCTATCTTACATGTCTCAGCAACAATATTTTAGATTTAATTTTAACAGCTGGAGTTGAGGGCTGGCAGAAGCTGGGAGTTTGGAGTTTTGTTTGGGCTACCAGGTAGGGTAGAGGATGCAGTGGGACTCCAGCCCCACAGCCTTCTGAAACAAATCCCATCACTCTCCTGGAGATGGTAGGTCTGGGCTGGAGGTGTTAGCACACACCTTTAATCTCAGCACTTGGGAAGCAAAAGTGGATGGATCTCTGTAAGTTCCAGGCAATCCAGGGTGACATAGTGAGACCTTGTCTCAAAACACAGAGATGATGTGTCTCAGTGTTTGCCCTGCAGAAATGACATGTATTGATGAGTTTATGGCAGGGGTGGAGACTTCCTCATAAGCTCACCTTATGGTGCAGCTGTTTTGGTTGTTCTCTGAGCAGGACTGCAGTATGCAGCCTATTAAAGCCTAGCCCATAGCTACCAGCTGCCTTGCTAACTAAGTTGGTTCATGGTGAAGTTGCTTTAGGAATGCCACTCCTGGCTTTAGGAATGCCGCACTCAGGGCAGAGGAAACAGGACAGGAGTGTTAGCCATAAGAACCAGATCTCTGAGTATGTCTGTCTCTTGTTTCTCTGTTTCTGTGTCTCTCATCTATCTCTGTCTCTCATCTATCTCTGTCTCTCTGTCTCTCTCTCTGTCTCTGTGTGTGTGTGTGTGTGTGTGTGTGTATGTGTGTGTGTAGGTAGGTAGGTATATATGTGAATACAGGAGTGTGGAAGCCAAAGAACAACCTAGGATATAGTTTCTTGGTCACTGCCACCTTGATTTTTGAGAGGGTTTCTCACTGGCCTGAAACTCATCAAGTAGCCAGGGCTGCCTGGCAGGCGAGCCCCCAGGATCTGCCCATCTCTTCCTCCCCAGTCCTAGACTGGAATTATAGTCATGTGCCACCAGACTAAGTTTTAAAAAAAGGGAAAAGTGGTGTCCAAGTATCAAACTCAGGTTCCCATGCTTGCAAAGCAAGCCCTTTACCAACTGAGCCACCTGCTCCACCCTGCATCCATCTCTTTCTGACCATCAGTCAACACTAGGACTCCCATCCCAGTCACCCACATAGTGACAGGCATGAAAGATGAAGGTGGCCTCCCTGTCTTGCTCCATCTATC